ATTTATATGTGAATTTGATTAGGGATGTTTAAAATGAGTTCTAAAGGCCCATACTTATCTATACTATCTTATAAAACAAATTTAGCAAAATTATTAAAGTATTAAAATTTTAAATGACTAAAATACCTTTTATACTCATTTTTTCACTTTTTCACCACCTCCTCTCCTCACATATACTCACACTCTCATAATCGATTTTTTTTAAATTATAATTTTAAATTTACACTTTATACCCCTATAATTAATTAATTAATTTACTTTGCGTCATTTACTTTTAAATGTTTCATTTTAAACATTTATCAAATTAACATACATAATCGTATATCAATTAAAACATGTTTAAAAAATACATTTTTATTTTAACAAGTTACACCATTATAATCGTCTTGTTAATACCTTCGAAATGAGTCCAATATTGAATAGTTTTTGACTTATTTATATTATTATATATTATATATACTATGAAAAAATATTTTTAATATTTATGATTTATACTTTTATATTTATTTATTTATATATATACTATATATTTTGGGATTAGGCTGTTCAAATTGCACTGTATACTACGTTTTGAATTAATATGTTCTTGGGTTTTTTGAAATATATATATACATGTATTAATTCAACCTTAATCTGAGTTTCTGGACAAGAAAGAGGGTAAGCAGTTGAAATTTCATTCTAAACCCCATCTTTTTTTGTCTTTTCATGGCTTATGATATGTCAAATTTGTAGTTTTCTTTATTGGTTTTGAATGTTTATCTTAAAACTCAAGTTTATTTGTTCTTTGCTCTTGGTGTAAAACGAATACATTTGTGGAGTCGTTTAAATATATTGGATTTTAGATATATTGGATTTTAAACCGTCATACAATTTTTTCATCGATAGTCTGTAATTGGAACCATAACTCTTATTTATTCAAATTGTATTAATATGTAAAGACCAAGTGTAACCTATATCATCGTTAAATCTTATCTTATAAAACCAGTGGAACTTCAAAATCGTTAAAATTCATGGCTCCCGCCGCATTGCACGGGTACACAACTAGTAATAAAATAGAAGAAGAAAAGACAAAAACCTAGGAGAGATAAGGTTCCTATAAAGGAGACAAAAAGTACATAAATACAAAAGGGATAATCATAGTAAGTACACTAAATGTTTTTCTCTAGAATCTTCTTGTAAAAAAATCAGTCTTTGCCCAAGACTTATCCAAAAAAAATTTCCTTATTTACGCACAACGGCTGAATCCAAAAAGCTTGTCCAAAAAGGCGCACTACAAAGACCAATGCTTAATGAATGCTGCAACACAGAGCAGTAGGCATACATAAAAAGAATTAGCCATCTTAATAGTGTAAAGACAAGTAAATTACTTAATTTAGATCCATGGATAAACAAATGGAAAATAATATAATAAAAAGGACTCAAGGTTAGGATAAAAGAAATTAAACTACCTAGAAGTAAAGAAATATGTGCTTTATGCCTTGAATAATCAATGCATATCACACCCCCAAATTTAAAGTGTTGCTTGTCCCCAAGCAACTCAAAGACAAAAAGAAAATTACTCAATTTTGAAAAAGTATGCAAGATTATGGCACATATATTGCAAAGCATACCATCATTAACTTCATAGCCTTTCATAAATCCTTAGTGAACCATTCATAGTCTAATTATATGTATGAACCATATGCTAACACCAATCGTTTCTTCGTCAAACTCAACACACATTTCATTTAGGATCAATAGGGCTTTTATAGGATTACTCTCTTTGGAATTTTCTATTCTCACCTAGCCTTTTTCTTGTGCTTCAACTATGATTTTTTTTTTTCAAATTTTGGCACTTTGTGTTCTTTTTGTTGATAGTATGCACTTTGCCCCTATGGGACATTTTTCGTGCTTTTAACCATATCCCAACTAAGGCATCTTTTTAGAGCTTACTCTTTTGCTTTGATGTTTTGGCCTTAGTGGATAACCCTTCCCCAAACTTGGATTTTGATAATTTCCTGATTGGCTGTATGGGGTATATAATGTATATAGATAAAGGGTACAAGTGGCTATTTGTGAAACAAGAAGAAAGGCCTATATCATTCCTCTCATGTGTGTAGTGTGCGAGGCAATTTATGTCCCAAAAATATTGTTTCTAGTTCTAGCAAGAACATAATTACTAGGTGAATAGCAAAACCTTAGAATTATTTGGGCTATAAAATCAAAGGCAACAATCATTGAACATGTAATCTTGTAAAAAAATAAATCTAAAAATGTAAAACTATCCCAGACTCAAGAATGAAAATACGGAGACTAAAGAAAGATGATTTAAACCTGTCCTACTCCAAAAGAAGTAGGTTGCATAGCCAGTGCTACTGATGTTGGAGCCGATGTTGTAGCATCAGCCTTCTTGCATTCCTCTTTCAACTTCTCATTCTTTTCGAACAACCTTTGATTTTCTACCTTGATGGTCTTCAGAATATTCTCAAAAAAGTTGATATTCTCACTTGTTATAAGATTTAAAAAAAAGCAACAACCTTTCCATATAAGTAGAGCTGTCATGAGTAGTCGATGATAAATAATGTCTAATAAAGCTTATCCAAACATTCTCATCAGATGACAAATTGGCAACATTAAAGGTTTTCAATATGAAATGAGTGTAAGACTCCCAATCAGTCTCAGGTATTCCAGGGAAAGTCATGTTCTCAACCAAATATGCCTCAGAAGCCGTGCGTAAGATTGCATCATCCTCGGGATCTATGTGAAGTGAGAGATTGAACAATTTATTTATGGATTTGTCAAAAGTAGACACCTTTCTTTTGTGGCATTATGGATGTGAAGTTATTGTCATCTTGGATGATTTTATGTTGACAAAAAGAACGACTAATCCCCTTTTGGTTGTCAATGGTCCATCCTATAACTTTTGTGTGTAACTTCAACATATCCACAAGCTTTTTTTTCCTGATGCAAATATAGGGCAGATGATATGATGACAGAAAATTTGTCTTCTTCTCCTAGAGAAGCATACTTCAAATAAGATGGAAGTTTTTTCAATTCCAGGTCATGTGGTGATATGATGGATGGGGTAAAGTCTTTTTGCTCAATACTTTCCAGCAGCTCAAATGCTACAGCATCCAGTAGGATAAGATCATTCCATATTGAGACTAATTCCTCAGTAGTCCCTTCCTTTATTATCTCATCATTGTTTTCTTTCAACTCAAGGGCTTCCTGGACTCCTTTTACATGACACTTTGATACTATTTCACAAATTCTTGAACAATCTTCCAAATGTGATATTTTGGTCTTGAAGTCTCATAGTCAGCTCTCCTTTATGGACATCTATCAAAGTTCTTCCGGTGGCTAGGAATGGTCTCCCTAAAATAATAAGAATCTCCTTATCATCCTCAAAGTCTAAAATGCCGGAAATATGAACTTATCAACTTGCACTAAAACATCCTCAATCTTTCCCTTGTAGTATCCAATGGATTCATCGGCCAATTAAAGTGTAACAGTGGTAGGTCTAGCTTCTCCTATGCCAAAGGTGTTGAAAACCGATAAGGGCATAAGGTTGATATTGGCACCTAAGTCACACAAAGCTTTCCCAATATCCTTCCCACCTATAGAACAAAGAGTAGTGAAACTTCCCGGTCTTTAAGCTTAAGAGGTACCTTGTTGGTTAGAAGTGCACTAGATCCTTCAGTAAGAGTTTAAGGTTTTATAATCGGTCAACTTCTTCTTCTTCCTTAAGATATATTTGAGAAACTTGTAGTTCTTCCTTCTGAATTCTTAATTTTTGGGGAAAAGGCACATTTGGAGGAACTGGTTTTATGACAACTTTGTTTGAATGTGTTGATCAAAATGAGTCCTTTATGCCTTAGGTCTTATTCTTACTCTCTTGTGGTGCAGATGGGGTTACAACAAGGTCTTAGGGTATGCTATAGCCTGATTTTCTAATAACTTTTTCCTAATGGCTTCTTCTGGAAACAGTAAAGGGTAATCTGATCTTGAGGGGGACAGTGAGGACCTTAGATGATTGGTTTTCTAATGGTTTTCATGGTTTTTCAATAACAGGGGCCAATGTTATTAGGCACAAGTTTTGGATGAAGTTGGTTCACGATCTTTTTGCACTACCTCTATCAATTCCTTCCCATTTCTTAGGGTCACTGCTTTCACATGTTCCTTTTCTAAGGCTCTCGGGACTTCTATGTTACTAGGCAAAGTACCAAGGACTCTGTTGGTCTTATTGAGTGCAAGTTGACTGACTTGGGTTTCCAGATTTTTGATAACAACACTTTGCTGATTGAAAAGAGATTGATTTTGAGAGTTTTGTTGGGTTATCAAGGCTTGATTTTGAGCTCAGGCTTGCGCAAATAACCCTTTTACCATTGCTTCCAAAGAAAATGATAAATCAGTCTGTGGAGGTGGCTTGTTTTGAAAACGTGGTTGAGTAGTTTGAAAACATTGGTGATGATTTCGAAAACTGCTCGCATGCTGTTAGCATTGAAATTTAGAGGTTCCTTGCTACTTATGTGCGGGTGGATTTAAACATGGACTATTCTAAGAAAATTTTGGGTGTTGTTTCTAACTTGCATTGTAATTGTTGGTATAAGGACCAAATCCATTATGAACATAGTTTATGGATTCAGAATTATGAGAACAATGTTCATACGAATGTTCTCTTCCACAACAAACACATTGCACTAAGAGGAATGTTGGAATAGGTATAGTGGTAGCTGGTTGACTCCTTCATTAGAAGTAAGGTTTATAAGCATAATGGCCATGGAAGTGAGCTGTATTGTTAATGCAGTGTATGCATCCACATCATGAATTCAGTTGTCTTCCTTTGCAGTTGCGCATGTAGATCAGCCCAGTGTCCATTGTTTGCCAAAATCTTTTCAAGGATCTCATACATGTCATTATAGGCACTAGTTGTAAAGGTCTTTCCTGCAATTGTGTCGAGCATCTGTTTAGCCTTGGGAGTTAACCCATTGTAGAATGTCTCGAGTTGTATACAGTAAGAAATGCCATGGTGAGGGCATTTTCTTAACAGCTTTTTGAACCTCTCCTATGCATTAAGAAGAGCTTCATCGTCCAATTGTTTAAAAGAACATATTTCATTTATGGACTTAATGTTCCTGGTGGATGGGAAGTATTTTCGCAAAAAAAATAAGCCATATTATTCCACGATGGCACAAAACCTAGTGGTAATGAATTAAACCATGATTTTTCCCGATCCCGTAAATAAAATGGAAAAAAGTAAGTCTTAGAGCGTCGTTAGGCACTATCGGGATCAAGACGGAATTAGTGATTTCGATAAAAGATTTTATATGTGAGTGAAGATCTTCCGATGGCTGTCCAACAAATTGTCCATTTGTTTGCAACATATGAAACATGAACGTTTTGAGCTCAAAATGGAGGGCTGTTATTTTAAGCCTAACTATCCCTGAGAGTTGCTCAAAATCAGGTATTTCATGGTCTATGATTTTTCCATTTTTTGAATTTGAAAGATTAATTATATTTGGGGGACTGAACCCTTGGTTGATCATTATTTTCAGATTTTGTGTCATTATTAACCAAATCATTATTATTGTGTGGTGGTCCTTGTGGGAAATTATAGAAATTGTGGTATTGGTACAAAACCAGGTGGTCGATTTTCCAAATGTGGAGGTGGCGGAGGTGGCAGATTTGCAGTAAGTGGGGGAGCTAACGCCATATTGGGAGGGAGTAGAGCAAAAAAATGCTCTTTGTGCCATCCTTCTTTGGTGGAATGTTCTCTCAATATCAAGATCAAATTCGTGAAACTCCTCGCAGTGTATCCTTGGAATTCAACCCTTCCAAATGATTTAGATGGTGTTAGAAAAAATCAAATATTTTCTTTTTCTCTTAAAAAGAACTTTTAGCTTGTCAATCCCCGGCAAGGGCCCAATAACTTGACAGGCGCTTTACACACACAAAGACTTAGCAATCGGGACCAAAAGCAAGTATACAATTAGTCCTAATATCTTCTTTCAAGTAATAAAGTGGTATAGATTATCGAGAATTGTCCACAGGGATCATAGTAAAAGCTTAATAAAATTAGAATGAAAGAAATGATTTCAAATGATGAAATTGAATACTTTGGTTGGATCTGAGTTAACAACTTACATAACATAATAGATAAAGGTAGCATGGGTGTGAGACATGTGGTTAGACATAAACACAAATTCCAGAAGATAATGCTGTAGGTATGCTACAACAAGCAGTCAGCCATAACCGGTTCCACCATCTATTTTGAGGGTATTCATCTCTACTTCCACCATTGTACTATATTTTAGATTTCAACCTATATCTCTATGTGGTATCATGACCAATGATAGTGATGAATGGTGTCCTCAAAATATATGGATAAACAAATATCTTCTTTAAAAATCACTCTTTTGAGCCAATTCGCATATCATTCAACTTGGCGTGTGTTCTAAATAGTTCATCTATGAATCTACCATAATTTAACACTTTAACAAGTGAACAACTTGTTGAGAATTAATTGGTTTGAAATATATGAATAACTAGTCTCCTTGTCGGCAACTTTCTAAAGTCTTCCTCTCATATCATTCAAGTTGACGTGCATTCAATGGTTTATCTCTAAGACCATGACACTTTATCAATTTCAAAGTAATCAACTTGTCAAGAATTGTCATTGGTTTTCATAAAACTTGAATAAAATAGTGGAACGTTGTTATTGCTAAATAACGTCCACTTTTATTATGTTTAAAATCTCATCTTTTGTCTCACACTCAAGCTGATGGAGTTAGCTACTCATGACGGAAAGTAAATGAGAAGAAAAGTAAAATAACAAAAAGTAAATAGATAGATGTAAACAACGGAAAGTAAATGGCTGAATGTAAAGAACATAAAGTAAGTGACAAAGAAAGTAAATAAAGTAAAGACAATGCAATGTTGCAGTAATATAACGTAAAGAACAATATTTAAAGAAATTCAAGAGCTAACTTGAATATTAAGAGCAAAGTCAGATGTGAATCTGCTTAGGGATGTTTAAAATGAGTTCCAAAGGCCCCTACTTATACTAAATAAGAGAAGAAAATACAAAAACGTAGGAGAGATAAGGTTCCTATAAAGAAGACAAAAAGTACATAAATACAAAAGGGATAATCATAACAAGTACTTTTCTCTAGAATCTTCTTGTAAAAAAATCAGTGTTTGCCCAAGACTTATCCAAAAAAAATTGTCCTTATCCATACATAGCAGCTGAGTTCAAAAAGCTTGTCCAAAAAGCCACACTACAAAGACCAATGCTGAATGAATGTTGCAGCATAGAATAGTAGACATACATGGAAAGAATTAGCAACCTTAATGGTGTAAAGACAAGTAAATCACTTAATTTAGTTCCATGGATAAACAAATGAAAAACAATATAATAAAAAAGACCCAAGGTTGGAATAAAAGAAAATAAACTACCTAAAAGTAAAGAAATAGGTGCTTTATGTTTTGAATAATCAATGCATATCAGTGAAAATCCAATATTTTCAATTTGATGAAATATAATTATATCAATTATATTAAAGACGATGTAAGCTCGCAACACTACACCTCACAAATTAATTATCCATAACAACTGTATAAGGAATAAAGAAAAGACTCTGACTTGATCGAAATCAATATCGACAGTGGAACCACATAAATCAAATTCATGGGTTATTCAGTTGTCTCTCACATGGACCATCACTCTCTCACACACACACCATTCCTATTGTATAAGTTACCTCACTTCTTTAAGGATAAGTCTTCAAGTTTGAGGAGACTGGAGAAGAAATTTATGAATAGTTTTTGTCAAAGTGACTTGGTTCAGAGAGATGAGCCATAAGACATGAGTATATTAGCTTAAGAAAGAGTTCTCTTAAGAGAGCATTAGCTTGAAAATGATCTTTTGAGAAGGATAGGAAGAAATACATTTTTGGTGTTTTCTGAATTTTTAGAGACTCTTTTAAGATCTAGAAGATACTTTATTGAAAACACAAAGTTTCTAAGTTGTCAATAATTTTATCGGATATGGACATTTTAGAGGAGGACATACAATACTTCTTTTTATGAGTGATGGAAATTTTGTGCAACTTAGAAATTTTCATCACTTCACTTTTTTTTCGGAAAATAAAGGACATCCAATTTTTCAGATAGAGAATGGGGAACAAATAAAAAAAGTAGGAACATCCAATTTGTAAAAGAAAATAAGTTTGATTTTTTAAAACTAGAAAATTCGAGTAGAGAGGCATTATCATTGGTTGTGGAAGTCATTTCGGATCTTGTTCATGAGATTAAACAAACCTTTCTGATACCACTTGTTGGTCATGTGAAGTGAAGACTTACACAATAAGTGTTTATACAAGAGGGAAGGGTTGAATACGAACACAATAGATTTTCACTATTTAATTATTTATTCTATATTTTGAATAAAAACAAATAATTAAATATTCTTGGTGGAAGTTAGGAAGGTAAGACATGTGATCCTTAACAATCCGACTGTGACAAATTTGCTAAACTAAAAGAGAGGGGAAGCAGGTTCTCTTTCAGCCCCGAAGAACTAAGGAAGTTCTTCAAAGGGTGACGTCAATTTTACTTCAAAAACACTCATAAGTTCTTTGGAAAATAGATGAGTTATATTGAATGACAAGGGTTGACTTTTATAGCCATATTTGCATTAAATGCTTACTGTTCAACTTTAATGCATGTCTTCTTCTATTTGGTTGATCCATGCATCCTAGTACTATTCATTTCAACATTTGAGCCTGATGTAGACACTATTTTAGCTTACTTCATCCTTTAGTATGCCAAGGGAACAGTAAAGTAAGTAAATTACCAATACATTGGTGATTTTGTACTTACATAGGCTGACATTTGTACATGTTCTTGGTGAGCTAAACTTGCTAATCAAGTTTGTACTTCAAGATTCGGCTTGCTGGTAATAGTATTTGTCAAACTACTAGTTGACTTTTATCTTGTACTGATCTTCTTTTGCTAGATGACAAACCAATCCTCTTTAGTGACGATCTTGATCTAATTTCAACTATTCCTCGATTTTGTTGAACGCATTCTTCTCTTAGATCAATATAGACAGTTATAAGACTTTTGTAAGTAAAATTCCTATCTTTTTTATATCCAAAATGTAAGCTACATATCAGATTTACCACCTATAGAACATTATGAAGGTCCTTCATTGGATAAGCTTTGAGTTGGTAAAACTGACACCCTTTATTCAATAGAAGAATCTGTCGCATTAGGACCCGATGAAAGTTATGATGACAACCAACTTTTTGAAGAGAAAAAATCTGATGGGTGATACATCTGAAGCCTAAAACAATAAGGTTAGATGATATAGAGTGAGGTAATATCCGATGAGTGACGTTCATCGAATATTTACCTTGTGAAAGAAGGTAAATAAGAATATTTATTTCTAAGTGTATTATCGGATGTTTATATGTACTATTACCAAATCCGATGGTTAAGACCAACAATTGCTTTGCCAGGTTGGTTCATATTATTTCACCAAAAATCTATATGGTTGCATTTTTATGCAATGATTGTGTTTTTAGGTTCATATTCTTAAGGAACGGTGTCTTGTTATTAATATGTGAATCAAATCAAGAACACACTAAAACTATGATAGAAAGGACTGAATGTTTAAATTTTAGGATTTTTTTTTTCATTCAAAACCATGTTAGGATTAAGTCCTATGTCAAAATTTGAAGGGTTTGGAAGTAGGGGTGGGATGTATGCAGGCCTTTACTCCAAATAGTAGAACGGTTGCATCTGTAAAGACCATGGCTTTCAAAAAAGTGAGAAAAAATTGACTCGAGAGTTTAAGAAAAGTTGCAATATTGCATTATGATATCTTTTTCTTCTATAGGATTTGCCTTTAGAACTTGTGACACAACTATAGATTGTGACCTGTGATATTTGATGGAGGTTTGCAAACAAATGTTTATAGAGATACTCTATGGTTACCCTTTTAATATTGAGTAAAGCATACAAGTGTTGGAAAGAGTGAAGCTTAGGGATTCAAAAATTTTGAGCATGTAGAAGTTCATTATAGTTTTTAACTATTATGTCGGACCTTATCCAGGTGTATTTCGTCCT